CAGGATTTGGTCGCCAAAGTGAAAAATTTAGTCACATTGGCGCCTGTGTTAGGCGCAATTTCATGCCCTGCTTAAGTATTACAGAATACAACAAAGTGAAAATAATTGGTTGCAATCTTACTTAAATAACAGGAAGCAGCAGGTGCATGTAAATACGTAAATGGCATTGCTTCTGAGTCATGTTCCATCTCCACTGGTGTACCTTAAGGATTGATACTAGGACCTTTGCCATTCAATGGCAAATGGCATTGCTTGTGAATCATGTTCCACCTCCACTGGTGTACCTTAAGGATTGATACTAGGACCTTTGCCATTCATTATTTTTATAAATGCCCTTCCTGAGTCTTCTGCTTATTTTTCTATTAGATTATATGCCTCGTCAAAAGGAAAATTACAATTTGTATTCACCATTAAGTGTAGCAAATGTTCATTTAGAGAAATCCTGTTATATCAAATACCTTGGTGTGTATATTGATTGTCACCTTACTTGGTGTGACCATTTTGACTAAATATGTGGCAAAATGAGCAAAAATTTAAATATAATGGTTAAGTTAAAACATTGTCTCCAAAGCAAACTTATTAGTTTGTATTATTCTCTTCTATATTCTTTCCTTACTTATGCTTGTACACAATGGGGAAATAATTATAATCCTACACAGTCTCAAATCATAAAATTACAAAACAAAGCAGTTTGTATTATAAATGATGTTCCTTGGAATCAATAACTCCACACTACGTATCCCTAAGTCTTTTGAAATTTCCTGATATTGTTAAACTAAACACATGTACACTTTTTTATGATTATTTCCACAATGAAAAGTTTCCTAATATACCTGTTTTACTAGTATCTGAGCTACATATGGTGCATTATCTAATCAAGTAGGCATACCCTCATTTCAAATTAATCTCAGGAGATTCTGCCTGAGCATTATTAGAAGATTCTTTTTGAATAGTACTCCGCAATCAATCAGAGACAAATCATCTATAAAGATGTTTAGAAAAGCACTTTTATGCTGGTACCTTGCTCAATACTAATGAAACATCATCTCTTTGACATTTTACTGAGCTCTTCTTATAACTTTTCCTTTACTTTTTACTAAGTTTATCTAGATGTGCCCCTCTCCTCCCCTTCCTATATACAATGTGACTTAATTTAAGTGGTGTAATTTTGTACTATAAGTCTTCTTTCCTTGAAAAATTTTATATTTTTTACTTATTATTTCACCGTGTCTAATTCATCTCTTGCTAACGTTTGGAAAAAATAATAGAGATAAAAAATATGCATATTTGTCTTAATAAAGAACCTTTTGTTGCAGTGGTCATCGCAAATGGGGGCACCAAGTGAAGGTTTCATGTACAGTGCAGGTTCCCTTATCGGTAGTGACAGTTCAGTGATGTAGAGATCTACACCAATGTTAAGTA